GAAGAGCGTTTAAAGTCCAAGGAATAGCATGGAAAAAGTCCTGACATAAGGGACAAGCCCGGGAAGAGGAGGAAAAGAGGCACATTTGGAACCAGCAAGACGTCCTGTGTAGCTCTTGGCATCGGATGAGGACAGACACATGTAATAGAAGATACTGCACTGAACCCCGGAAGGTGAGGCTGGCGTGGTTGGCTGGACCAGGCTAAAAGTAGTCATCTGACACCAGCCCAAGTTAGGACCCCCACACTGAGTCAGCTGCCATCCCTCAGCCCAGCCAAGCAGCGTTCATTCTCCATGGTTCTTCCAAAGCCCACAAGTGCCGCCGCCACTGTGTCTACTTACGACAAAAGGATATCCCGGTACTGGATTTCCGACATCTTTTTGGCCGGTTGAAATTTATGTCTTTCTTCCTCTTTCAGTTTTTGAAGCTGTTGCTGCTTCTTTTTCAATGCACTCTCCTCCCTCAGAATGGTGAAATATCCCCGGCCTATCTTCACGGACTGAATCAAAAAACTAGAGAGGGAGGGAGGGAGGGAAGGAGGGCGAGAGAGAGGGAGAGGGATGAGTTGACAATTACGACACCGCCTTATCGATAATTACTAAGGGACACTCTCATACCTGCAGAGCAGGAGCCTTCCCACCTGTAGAATTCCAGAATCAGATAGACTTGAGCTTGAATTCTGGATGCACCTTTTACCAAAGACCTTGAACAAATGATTTAACCTCTTCAGGTTTTAGTGCCAGGCACTCTACTGTGTGCTATGAAGTGAGCATAACAATTCGCCCCCACAGGATTAGATATCTTCCTGCCTGGAAAGGGGTCAGCAAGGTGCCTGGTATTGAAGAGAGGCTTATCCATGATAATCAATAGCAGACCAGGTACTATATGGCCCGAGCTCCCGGCCAAGGCTGCTTTCTCTTAGATTCATCTGAATCCACTTATCATCAAAGAGCATATTGAGACTGCAAGATAACCTGATAGAAAGAAAACCGTTACCATTTGCATCCCCCTTAATTTCACAAATGAGGATTTTCTTGATGTGGCACAAACAAAGCAAATGCAGAGCTCACCTGGGAGCTGGGGCTGATGTTTCGTTCTTGTGTTACTTTGGAGAGACCCTTTGCTCAAAATTGGGTTCAGAGGTCGAGATGGACACCGCATGCATACCAAAAGGGTATGAAATGACTTGTTGTTACTCAAAGAATGAGGCTTTCTGGGCAGAATGGGGAAGACTTCCCATGCTGGTGTAAAATCAGCCTGAGAGAGCATCGAGGGGTGGCTGGCTTAGGGTTTCATAGGGGTTAGGGAGTGGAGCTGGGGCGCAGGTTTCTTGGTTGGACTGTGGTTTGAACTTCCCACCAACACCCAGAGATGGAGAACCTGGACGTATCGGCTTGCCCGAATGTGGAGCAGGATGGGAAGAAGGAGTTGGGGGAGCTGGAACGCTGTCAACAGTCGCCCATCAAAAATGGGTATTGCATTAATTCACACCCAGTTTCAAATTTGTGTGTTCGCCTGAATAGCCACATCATTATCAAACTTTCATCAAACATGTATAGCTACTATGTGCCGGGCACTATTCTAGGTGCTAAGATAACAGCAGCAAACAAAACAGCCACAAAATTGCTGCCCTTGCGAAGCTCACATTCCAAGGGGGTGGGGACAGACGTAAAACAGAAGTAAACTGTAGACAGGATGCTAAGTGCCGTGGGAAAACATAAACCAGGGACGGGGGAGAGTGACTGCTAGCAGTGGGAGTTTTAGTTATTTT